AAACAGCATAATTTGACACAAGATCACGAAAGACATACGAATTTTAAACTTAAAAACAATAGCTTTACCACACAAGCTCGTTAAGCATCGCTGACCGGTAGCTTCCTTGAAGCTAAGAATCTTTATTGACGATGAAACTACAATTTTTTTAATTTTTTTATAATCGGACCAAAGAAGCGCTATTCTCTGAATAGAAACAGATTTAGAATAGAAGTAAATGCCACAGTAGAAAATAATTCGGGATCTAAAAACCGTCGACTCTTTGTTATATAATCTTGTAATCTAGACCAACGCACTGTTATACGTGAGTATATGCATATATTGATCTGAAGATCGCTTTGATGCGTGAAACTGACAGTCACCACGCAGCGCTGATTCCTGTGTCTACACCGTTTATATCTATAAATGTTCTATTTCCGATTCACTAAGACAGAAGTCGAAGATTAGACAAAAAATAATATACCATGAAACTCGGAGTTCAAGTTAAGTGAATTATTTTATTTTATTATATTATTAACACGCACGCACACACACACACACACACACACACACACACACACATATATATATATATATATATATATATATATATATATATATATATAGTGTGTGTGTGTGTGTGTGAGAGAGAAAGAAAGAAAGAAATAGATAGATAGATAGATAGATAGATAGATAGATAGATAGATAGAAAGAGAGAGAGAGAGATAGAGAGAGAGAGATGAAGAGAGTCAATATTTATTACTTCAAATATTATTTTAATGGATACCCGTATTTGAGAAGGCAGATATGGCATTCGAAATAAAATCCGAACAAGAAGATGTTGCTTTAAGGGAAACATAACCGGACTTGGCTATGAAACGCTCCGTAGCTGAGTGGTCTGAAGCACGCCAGATAAAAACGGTGGTTCATCCTACATTCTGACCCTGCCGTAGGGCACCTTTCTTTATTAAGTTTTCTCGAATGCGCAGGCCGGTAGACAAAAATATTTTATTTAGTTTCTATTTAAAACATGGATATCCACAATAATTAAATTTTGAGGTAATTATATATATATATATATATATATATATATATATATATACACGAGGGTGCATCATTAACTTTTTATCCTTAACGTGCTAAAAAAATTTTTTTATCTACACAGATTAAACATGGTTTTGTCATAAGAAGACAGATTTGACTTCTTTTTCTGTGGTATGCTAAAGAAGAATGTGTACTCAATGAAAATCACAGATGCAACTTACGTGAATGAACGCATAAAGATGAAATGTGCTAAAACTGACAGCAATGTGGAGTTATTGCATTGATTTCACGTGAATCTTCCAAAGGCCATCAACCTTTGCATCACAAATGATGGAAACCATATTAAAGATATCATTTGTTAATATTCCAATTCAATAAAATGTTGAAAATTTAATTTCTTAAAAATATGCATTTTTGGCTATGTGTCCTGACTTTACGGACACCCTGTATTGATCCCAGAGGTATTAACAAACTTTATAATTTCTCCACTAGAAATATGAGGAAACGCTCGTCTTACTATTTATTTCGATTGATAATGTATTCAATTAGCGCGTTAGCCGTGAACTGCTTTATTTTAAATAATAGAATTTTTATTAGTTTAAATTAACTACAAATCATAACCTGACGTGGCAAAAGCCATGCGTTAGCTTTTCTTAATACTAAAATTCCTGCCAATACAAAGCTTGAGCCCCTGAATATGGAGGGTTAATTTTAAATCGGTAATGACGAAAGGTGCATAACATCAATTTCAAGAGTAAATGACAGGAAGAAAAGATTATGAGGATAGGGAAGATGGATAATGTTTAACCCTTTATTTGGAGAGGTTACGAATTTAGTTTTCAGGGAAATTAGCAGTTCTTGGGTGCAAAAAGCTGTCTTAGGAACTTCCTTCCTAGGTCTGGAACAGAGGGTAAATGAGGCGGGTCGACAGATTGATAATAACATGATCTGTCCTCGCTGTAAATGTCTAAACTGATGCAAGTAAAGAATGTAGTTCAGATAAACATAGAAATAGCAAGAAAATATATATTGCTTATGTGTCCAAGCTTTAGGAACACCCTGTACTATGTTCGATATATGGGATTAATATTTGCTGTTGAATAAAGTGTATTATTGACAAGGAATGAGATTATGTTGAAAAATGATTTTTTTTTATCATTGGGTTACTGATTTTTTCATATACCATCGTATATGTGATTTGGTCATAGTGCATTATTTTTCTCTTGATGAAACATTAGATTACGGCGTTCAGCCGAGTGGAACATTTCTGTTTAACAGGCCGAGGTTGTTGCCTGACGCCGATTCGTGAGAATATCAAGTTTAGGCACATTGCTTTAAACATAACTAAAAAGTATCAAACCCACCAACACGAAGTCAAATGCCTTGAATAAAATCAAATAAAAAAGCACTATTTGATTAGCGAGAAACATCTTTTAAAAATCATTACGCAGATGTGTCGTTTACTGACGAGTTGCAAAATTTAGTGCATTCCTGAAATATTACATGGTGGTTGCCTTTTACATTCCGTGTTAGAATAATTGTTTATAAAGCATGTAGAGGTTTCTTGAGGAAAAACACGTGTTTTACTCTGGCTTGTAATAAGTGATTTACACTCAAGAAATTATACCGAAACAGCTATATAAGCGCGAGGAAATGCAAAAGACAGTCGCATCAGAATAAATGTTTATAATCTAATCTCTTAAGCACTTGTTTGTGATTTAGATCCAACAAAATTATACCACTAATTGAAATAATCTCATTTAGTTTATTTAAGGTATATTTTATGAAGCCAAAATGTCTCACGTTTTATTTATTTTGTGTAAAAAAAAAAAGGAAAAAAGCAACAAAACAAAGTGAACAGCCTCTTCTTCTTTTATGTCCCGTGACCCTTCAGGATGTATGCGATCATGGCCCTCCGCATCTTCCTGTCCCTTACTAAGTTTTCTCTTTTTTTATTTCTCCCAAACCCTATTCTGCCATCTATTTACTCAAGCTTATTAAGTATGTTACACGCTTCCCCCCCACAGTCTCTCCTGTGAGTATAACATTTTCCAAGCCCTCCTTCCTCATTACATGCCCCAGAAATTTAAACAACCTCTACCTAATGTTAATTATAATTTTACTTTATGTTTCCATTTTCTTCAAAACCTCTCGTTGCTCACATGTTTGGTCCCTAGTATCCTCAGCATCTTTCTGTAGAACCATATTTCTTTTGCTTCAAGTCCTTTCTTCATCTTTTAGGAAATTGTCCAGCATTCGCTGCCACACGAGAGGATCTAAGTGTTCTAATTCCATATTTTTTTGCCCGGTATTGTCTTTACACTATTTGCGTTCGGCCTAATGTCGTCGTCGTCGTCTTTGTTTTTATTATGACAAAGTTTCGGTCGTTATGTACGACCTTCTTCCGTATAACCTTGAGAGTTTTGTTCATGTCTAGTGAATTAAAACATTAGTTCGTGAATTTTGTGACATAGTAATTTTGGGTTCAATCCCTGTGCCGGGTAGAACAGACTTAGACACATTGGAAACAGGGCGAGTAATAACTGAGCGATGCTAACTAAAAACAAGAGATGGAGAGCGAAACGAGAACAATCTCCTTCCATACATTAGATAAAGAGTTGTTTGAAATTCCCTAAAGGTTACCCGTATTGACAGATAACGGAAGAAGAAAGACCTAAGTATGGAAAGGTTATGATACTAACACAATGTACCTAAATAAATTCTAAACAAGCACTTTCTTACTGTCTTTGTTTTTATATCATAGCATAACTGCAGCGTGGTTTTTAAAAGCATTTCAGTTTAGCTCGTATCTGAGAGGCGACAAAAGAACCATACTGAGTGAACTTATTGTCCGAATATAAATAACTTTCTATCTCAGAAATTCAGATAGAAATTTCGATCTCATTATGGCCTGTTGACGATCTTTCGGGAAAGACCTTATAGACTGGTGCTACAAAATCACAAATAACTTTACCAAATAACAAAAACCACACCACTTGAACACTTCCAACCGCAGTAACAGCAACATTTTCTTCACTTTCTCATTTCATAATTTTCGCATTTCTCTGGTTAGATGTTCTTTTGTCTTGTTTTGGTTTGTTTTGTTTTACTGTTTTAATGCCGACAGTTTTTATTGCTGGTAATATTTTTCCCAAAAATGTATTGCTGGTAATAATGTATTGCTGCCAATATTTTTTTACAAAGTATTTCTGATATTAAAACCTATCTTTACACTTTCATAGTAAGTATTGCTGGTGACGTTTTTTCCCTTCAAAAATTTATTTCTGGTAATATTTTTCTTCAAAAATCTATTGCAGGTAATAATTTACCAAAAATGTGTTGCTGGTAATATTTTACCAAAAATGTATTGCTGGTAATATTTTATCAAAAATGTATTGCTGGTAATATTTTACCAAAAATGTATTGCTGGTAATATTTTGTTTGTAATAATTTTCCTTTAAACATGTATTGCTGGCAATAATAATTCCTTCACAAAAGTATTGCTAGTAATAATTTTTCTTATAAAAATGTATTGCTGGTCATAATTTTTCCTTCAAAATTGTATCTCCAATAATAATTTTACCTTCAAAACTATATTGCTGGTAATAACTTTCTTCAAAAATGTATTGTTGTTAATAATTTTTCCCCCAAGAAAAGTATTGCTGTATCAATACCTATTTTTACACCTCCACAATGTTTTGACACCTATTTGGGTGTTAACTATTTGCCCATAGCTGGGACTCTAACAGCTGCTACCACCCCGGGTCAGGGTGAACCTGGGAATACCAGCAATTAAGAGGTGGTTCCACGGTCCTCAAAACCTCCTGATCATAGGCCTTGCTGTTGGATGTAGTTTATCGTCTTACCCGGGACGCGGATGTCGTTTATCGTCTTAGCCAGGACGAAGTTAGATGTTCATTGTGTTTATTATATGCTTTATAGAAAAAAAGGCGCTTCGTCTGGCTTACGGTAACATGACGTTGAAACACCAGTTCCCATAAGATCACCGAAGTTAAGCAGCGTCCTGCCTGGTCACTACCTAGGTGGGTGACCGTTTGGAAATACCATGCGCTGTAAGCTTGGATGCTTGGGTAGTTTAATGGATAGCTGAGTTCCAAATCCAGTTGAGTTCGTTATATTCACTTACGCGCAAATCCCCTTGGGAAAGGTATGAATCTACCTCTTCCCCACCAGCTATGGGTTAATTAGTAAAACTTGTATCACGAAAACCATTATTATCTAAAATAAAATTATGTACAAAATATTCATATTTCGGCATTATACTCATAGAATTTGATATACCGCTAAACAAAAACAACCAACTAACAATCAACATCTTTTATCAGGTCCTATAGACTGGCGCTAGACAATCACAAAAAAAATTAGTATTACCAACTAACAAAAGCCACACCACTTGAACACTTCCAGCAGTAAAAATAACAAAAATGGGTTGTACAAGTAAATAGAGTAAATAATGATATAATCTGTCTATATTTCTGAGATGAGGTATGAGATGATTTACATTAGTCGGACTATTGTCCTCATCTTTGTCGCCATATTTGTCGCATTTTGGCCGTTGTACGACCCTTCTTCAGGTGGTTAGAATGTCGAACTGAACCCTTTATTTCGATCACTGGGGTAGACTGTTCTAGTTCCACGTGCCATGTTTGCCAACCACCTGAAGAAGGCCGGAGCGTACAACGGCCGAAACGTTGTGACAAATATGGCGACAAAGATGAGGACAATAGTCCGACTAATGTAAATACTGTACAATGATTATATTCATGTTAACATTCCAAAAAGAAAATTTGAAAGGAAACTCGCATGAATACGTGAAAGAGCATTTATTAGATTGGTGTCTAATTTCATGAAAAACACTTTTAAGAGAAAGATTTCATAAATTTCAACCTGCAGTCGTGCTAACTGTTCGGTCAATAAATGGTTACCTGTATGGAAACAACTAATTTCACCATCACCATTACCATAATTTTGCTATTAACATGTGGTGCCAGGGCGAAATTTGGCTAATATTGATAAATATATCCTTGAGTCTTTCAAGCGTTTCTTTTTAAGCTTGCAGAATATTATTTGACCACTAAACGATTATGTGAAAACGTGTCAGATGATCGAAACTATTTCAAAAATTTGAAAACAGTTGTATTATTGAAAAGACCTCCAATGAATTTCTGGTTTTTATTATTTATATAGTCCCACATATACACGAATTTTGTCATGGTATAAACATCATTTTGTCTAGGTAAACCGTTGATCAAGAAGTTGTTCCACAATTGATGTCGTACAAATATCAGTTGCAAACGTGGAAGCCAATAAATCAGTGCATATGCACTTACATAAAGTATTCTATTCATATAACAATCGCGTTAACTATAAAAGTATTTTAAATATGTCCCCAACTATAATAAAATTTCGAAATGTTTTTACATGACATATTGGCCAATGCATTTTTAAAAATTAAACAGCATTTTTTTCATTTGAATTTTTAAGGCTTTTATATTGGCAGTGGAAGATGTTTCACGTTATATTAAATATATTACATTATATATTAAGACTTTCTCATAATATTTAATATCAAAAACTACCAAGAAAAATATATAAATCCGGTACTAGTCGAGTGACTCTTAAAATAATGTCGGCGCGCAGAACTCTAAATGTGGTAATTAACGTCATATTCAGGATGAGTATTTTAATACCCCAATGCAAGTCCCCTTCCACTTAATAGGAAGAATGAACATGAGAAAACGTAGGATTGGATACAGAAGATATCAGCTTTTTTCAAAATGACGTCTATTCAGATTCGGTGGGCATATCCTTTGCCAGTCATGAATATCGTATTATAGTTCCGCTTAGTTCATTAGCTAGTACGTACGTTACCCTTCACGAATAATGGACTATTCCGTGTTGATCGCCTGGAAAGATGGAAAAGACATATCAGAGACACTACTTGCTTTCAGTGAGAAAATAAAAGAAAGAAAGAAAGAAAGATAGAAGAGGCTCTCATGTGTTTAACGCCTGTTTCAGAAAATGGAAAAAGTCAATTTCAAATCTTTTCAATTTGTACCCCCGTACTTCTTGAAATAACGACCAGCATTAATATTTATTCGAAAAAAATCCGCTAATTTTCGAATAAGACTGGTATATCTCTATGTTAAAAAAAAAAAGAAAAGTCGAATAGAACGCCCACATAACAATATTAGAGGTGAGCAAAAGATGTTATCGCGACGAAGCAGAACAGATAAGTGGTTAACAATGGTAGCGGTTACGTCTATTTACAGAACCTTGTATATGCCCAAAGCACAATCGCATTTTATCCAGGTGGGAGTAAACAAAATTCAGTCAAATACCCCAAACAATCAACAGCAGTGCTTCCACCCCTATTGGGAGAGTTAATTGCTGGTAACTTTTATTTTCCACGTATTACAATATTTTGCTAAAGTTGTTAAGCTCAAATATTTAACGATGCGATAGGGGAATATTTACGGATATTTTATTGTCCCAGAATTCGCCATGAGCTTATTCAATCATTAACCTAAGAATTGATTCATTATAAAAATCAAATAGGAAAACTGTGAAATTTTCACGCGCATTTCTAGTAAAGTATACTGTAATTCAGTGAAACTTTACATGTGCATAAATACATTTTAAACAAGCATTTTCCTATTTACAATATTTTTCACCCTATGGCCACTCGAGGAAGAGGGTTACACAGTAATTTATAAGTTTATGAGGATATGTGGGAAAGAAAACGGTTAACCCTAGGTTTGAACAGGTTAAGATTGTGGTGGTCGGGAAATCATCCTCGTGGGAGTGGGTTACACAAAGTAGCGGTTCGTGGAATGAAGCTTCTTGAGCGGAAATGGAATACGAAGAAAATGAGGTCGGTTTGCTACAATGTGCGTGGCATGGTGGGGTTTTATCTGTGAATATTTGAACTGATGGAACTAAAGAATGTAGTTCGTCTGAACACTAGCCATGGAAATAGCGTTAGAGTAGCGAGAAGCTTATTTTTTCTTTTTGCATCATAACCAAGCTGCAGCGTAGTAACCGTTTCGACAGTGAAAGGGTGGGACCGAGATGCCATCCTAGTAGCACGCTTAAATTCATGCAATCTGGGAACCAGCAAAAGTAGCTCGTCGGAACAGTTGCCTTGAAAATACTTATAGAAGTAACAGGGGGGAATCCCCGGAACGTCTGTGAGAAAGCGACTGTTGATTAGATGTTAGGTCAGGATCCATCACATTGCATATCCATCTCTGGATTTTGTCGAGGAACTCGAGACTTACAGCTATATTTAGCTGTCCCCACCCCACGTGGGGTAGCATGTGGCACAAGGCCGAGTTCAATGTGGGTAATCCGAGCCCGTAGGCCCGGTCAAAAATATAGCCTTCGAACCCGAGAGCTATCTTAACCTCCCCGAACGAAACCTTGCCCTTCGGCAAAGCTTCGTCCGGGTTCCTCCCTGCTAACGCAGAGAGTTAGACAGACGGCGGTTGCTGTAACTTTAATACAGTGGGGGCATCCAGATCATATATGACAGCAATATTCTATGCACAACACAGAGAACCAACTTTCCTTGCTGTAGATGAAACTATATTGAGTCTATGTATTTGTTCCACCTCATATCAGCGGACAGTGTGAGACCAAGCAGGGGTAACTAGGCACTCTCAAGGAGTTAGGAATCAGCCATTCGGATGGGAGGTAGGAAGGGTTCTCTGTGGTGGGTAAAAGAGACCAGTTTTGTTTAGGGGGTATTGAAGTTTATAAGCCATTTCCTGCCCCAGCTAACGACATATTGAAGGTCATTTTCGAGACCGGCGCCCAAGGTTAGTTTTGTCAACGATACCAGATTTTATTGAGGCAGGAGTAAATAGTAGTGTCGTCCGCGTAGATGCCTACTTGGGAACTACATATAAATATCAGTGACATATAATCAAAGAAGCTTGAACATCATGTTAATATCATGTGGGTGTCAATATGCCATCGATATACGCATATAGCTAAAATGCAAAGATTGACTATGGGAATGAATTACTAATTGTAATTAAAATGATGACGGCTTGGTTATGTGGTTTAGATCAGTCACTTCGAAAAAGAGAAAATAAAGCATTTTCTGCGTCATCGTCAAGACTGCAGGATCAAATGACGATTCCTCTAATGCTTTATATTTACCTTATGATATGTGGAATAGGCAGTATAAAACTAATATGGGCAGGACAAAATTAGGGTGTGTGAAATGTTGAAGGTTGCTGGCATACATACGTGTATACACTCATGCATACACATGTTGCACACACGCGCACAAACACACACACACAAACAGGCACACAAATATATATATATATATATATATATATATATATATATATATATATATATATTCATACAAGTTGTGATGGATTAATTGTCGTCTAAAGTACGCAAAATGAAAATAATACTGACATCTCATTTTAACAGATATCTTTACCAAAATTACTAAAAAATATCTTGAAATAATAACGAATACATTTGTTCAATGAAATCGCTATTGGCTTCAAAATTGACATCGGAATCGCCTGCATCTCTTCTGGATGGTCTCCTTGTTTAAGTTTTTTTTGTCTCTCGTCCAACCGCGCCCCACAGGGGGTGGGGTGCAGTTTTGGGAGTCAGGTGGCGAGATGTAAGGGGTGATGTGGTCGGAGAAATAGTCTTACAACCATGACTGAGTTCTCCTGCTTGTGTGACATGGTGCAGTGTCCTGTTGCCAGACATAGTGTCTTCCAGCAGCCACCCCTTATATATATATATATATATATATATATATATATGTGTGTGTGTGTGTGTGTGTGTGTGTGTGTGTGTGTGTGCAACATGTGTATGCATGAGTGGACTCTATCGAGATTGTAAAGTGAGAACTGCGAAGCTCCTTCCCAAATATGACAGCAGTACTCCATTTTAGGTTTGATCTGGCTGTTGTAAAGGCAAGCGATAGCACGAGGAGTCAGATACCCAATGAAGCGGTAGAACGAGCTGGCTATTTTTCCAGTATTAGTCGGTGGATTGTATGTACGAGTGCAACTTGAG